AATTTTTATTAGTAGTAATCTTGTTACTGGTATTTGGATGCTGTGATGACTAACATTAAAAAAATACAACTTTTTTTTTTTTTAAAAAAGGATGTTGAGTCCTATATCCATCGCTCTGGACGTACAGGTAGAGCTGGCCGGACAGGGATTTGCATATGTTTTTATCAACCAAGAGAACGAGGTCAACTAAGATATGTGGAGCAAAAAGCAGTAAGTCAAGTTCACTTATTTCAGACTTGTTATCTAAATGGTACCATGGGGAAAAAATAAATAAGTAGATGGTGCCTTGGAAGAGAGCTCTTTTTTATCTTTTGTTCTCACAGGTAGATCTTCATAACTTCTCAGTTTAAGCTACTTTTGGATGTGAAGCATGTGGAGAGCTAAATTTATAATAGCTGCAAGACATTGTTTTAATGCAGCCTTTATTATGAAGACAGAAGAGCTGACTTTCTTGTTTTCTTCTTGAATTTTTCCCTCATTGTGATTTCATACCTCTTAGTCCAGCATTATAAATAGGTGACTGAGGAGTTTGTCTTAGTGTAATAGTTAAGATTATATTGAGTAATGGTATAAAAGGCATTTTCTATAAGAAATTACACCTTTCCCAAAAAAAGAAATTACACCTTTGTCTGCTCTGTATTTATTTTTGGTCATTTCACATTTTTCTGTTATGTGTGTTTTTGTCTGCTGCCTCATATGTTTTGTAATTTGATTTGGTGTTTTGGGGAGATCATTGACTGATACAAAAGCATCTTTTATTTATTCTTTTTTTTTTTTTTAAGGTATCAACTTTGTTTTGCAGGTGAAATTCTATGATTACAATAAACTAAAAGGGGCAATGAGAAAAAAATTTTCCCCTTCTGGAATTTATAATTAATTTATTAGAAAAAGTGGATCTATTGCCTAGGGCCTCGAAATCTTTATGTCCAAGAAATGGAAATTCAACAAACTATATTAATTTAGGGATTAATTGTAAAGATTTCCATTTTTCTTTAATATAATTCTTTCATTTTCAGGGAATTACTTTTAAACGTGTAGGTGTTCCTTCTACAATGGATTTAGTTAAATCTAAAAGCATGGATGCCATCAGGTATGCTTTCTGACCTTGCTGAATAATTTTTTTTTGTATTAGGCTGTTCATCTTTAACCTATCTTATTTCAAATATCCGAAAATTTTAATCACTTTTACCAACAGATACTTAGTTATATTAAAATAAGAAAATGTTACTCTTTTCCTATTCATGCTCTTATCTTTCATTTTTCACCTGTGTCTTGATCAAGAAAATTACTGTTTTTAAACCATAGGTCTCTGGCGTCTGTTTCTTATGCTGCTGTTGACTTTTTCCGACCATCAGCTCAGAGACTGATAGAAGAAAAGGGGCCAGTGGATGCTTTGGCTGCAGCATTAGCCCATATCTCGGGCGCTTCGAGTTTTGAACCACGATCTTTAATCACCTCTGATAAGGTAGAAAATTATGAAAAAACTATATTTAGTTGGGGAAAAAAGACAAAAACAGAATCATAGCAGATATTACCTAGTGAGTTCATAAGTATTACACTTAACCCTTCAATATACTGTGCTTTCTATGTAGAACAAAACCATTTTGCTTGGATAGAAATTGCTCTTTTCCGCCATCCCCGTTTTCTTCTTTTGACTTTCAATTCCTTCAACTATTCAAGCCTATAGAACGAGTGAAAGAGTACAAAAGACATGCCCTCTACCTACATTCAACAACTGCCACAGTATATACCTTTTTTCCTGAACTGTTTGAAAGTATCATGACATTCATCTTTAAATATTTCAGCATGCATCCTCCAATAAAGGTAGTCTACATAATCATAAGGTAGTCTACATAATCATAATACTATAATCTTATTTATTTAAAAATTCTATATCACTGTTTAATAACTAATCGGTATTTAAATGTCCCTAATTATCCTGATAATGTCTTGCCTATCCACCTGAAGAGATATTCATGAAATTCTTACTTTGTAGTACTATGTTCACAGAAACTTGAGTATGCCATAATTTAGTCTTCGTTTTTTTAATTGCTCGGTCACCCTGCAAAAGAAAGAAATCGTTTCTGTAGAGTCATAATAAAGGTGGTGCAGAAGTTAAATCTTTGGTTGCTAACTGAAAGATTAGTTGTTCAAGGCTACCCAGCAGCTCTGTAGGAAAAAAAAAAATCAAATTACTACTATCTAGTCATTGCCAATTCATTACGAAGCCGTGTCTTTTTCCTGTGAAACTGCTGGTGGTTTTGAAGTGTTGCACCATGTGGATTGCAGTCCAGCACATAACCACTACACCACCAGGGCTCCTCCACTATAGAAGACCTGGTAATCAGCTTTAATAAAAATTATAGCCAAAAAAAGACCCCAAAAAAACCTTAGTGGCAATTCTACTGTCACATGAACTCACTATGAGTTAAATATTAACCACTACCCAACAACACCATGCAAAGCAAAAATTGCCTGTATGTGTGGCGTATGTATATTCAAACTTCGTCTCACCTGGCCCACTCCCTGGTCAATATCAGACATCAAAGCAGCCAACACCAGAGCCATTGATTTATAAGTACTTTGAAAGTTTATTAGGCCTGAGGGAGGTCCCTGGATGAAAGGAACCATTAAGAGAGCTCTCTGATGTCTGGGTGGAGAGTCAGCCTGCTCATCCTGGGATATCTACGTAGAACAGTAAACTCAGGGTGAGATTTTTGAATAATGATGGAGCAGCTAAATGGGGATAGAGTTGGAACCAAAGCATCAGGAAAGGTGAACTTGATTATAACTTGTCAGGCATAAGATGCAGCTCACAAGTGGTGCATCTGATTTTTTCTGCCATAGTGGATGTTAATGGTTTAGCCAAATGTTACTTTGTTGGGAGTAGCTAATTTTATCTAACTGTATTTCTCTTTATTTATCCTAAAATTAGATTCCAGTTAACTAAAAAACAATGCTATCAAGTCAATTCCGATGCATAATAACCCTATAAGACAGAATAGAACTGCCCCTGTGGGTTTCTGAGACTGTTAACTTTTATAAGAGTAGAAAGCCTTTTTTTTTTTTT